CGTCAAACCCAGAGCCGTATATTGGGAGAGTTTGGCCAGTGGGTGTGGCGACGAAGGCGCCGGAGAGGAGAAAAGTAAATGAAAGGGAGGAGAGCGCCGAAGGAGCGAGAGAGAAAGAAGGGAGCAGAGAGGAGACGACCGCCATTTTTTAGCAACGCTGTCGGAGACTGGTCGGAGAAGAGCACTGCTGAGGCTACGCGTCGTCTGCTACGGGCCGACTTCTTTTTCGCCTGAATAAAAGTTTGTGGCCATGCACCCAAAAATCTTCATTTATTAGCTTTTTAACCCACCGAGGAATAACAGAATGTCATTTTCTTGCCAGAGTCAGCGATATAAAAGGCAATAATCGAGATTTAGATGCCGATCCCACGCATTTCGCCGGGAGAATGATCGAAGATGGCGGCCCTCCCCACTCAGGTGGGAGCAGCCGGGAGTTCACGCGCATGCGCTCATGCCTCTCGCTCTACGCCGCGTGCTGATTGGCTCACTTGGGAGGAGAGCGTTACGGCGGCGAGATCATAGACTGACCAAACTCTCCCCATATACGGCTCTGGTCAAACCAAAACAGTAGCGACGCCATGCGTACTTGCCAGATTTTCTCCGGTCAAACAAAAGCAACGAAAGCCAACCGGCGCTTGCTTCCAGCGTAGATCGGCGTTGCGCTTGCGCCGTGGCCAGATCGCCAGATCGCTTGCAGTTGAAGGTTGAAGCAAAAACGAAACCAACTGCAATGTCACGTGTTCACATCGAGGACACGCTTTTTATATCCATTTTAACTGTTTGGAACGAATAATTAGACCCATAACTTTATTTGTGGTGTCTAAGAAACTGTGATCAGGACCCCTAAACTAAATACAAACATGGGCGACATGAAGCAAGCCGCATTGCCATCGACCAGAAGATGGCGGCGAGCCCGGTAAGCGTGGGTTTCGCCAACGTCCTGCGACATGTCGCAATTACTTTTGGTGCATATCTGTCTCTGAGACATGTTTCTTTCCGCGGCATTTGTCTCGACGGTCCTTTCTAAGTGTGTCCCCAAGCATTCCGGTGCTTCGATAGCCGGCAATGCCGCGGTCGTCGCCGCGGGCGATGCGTGTTTTCGAGGTCGGCTACACGGTTATGCGTGTATGACCGAACCAAAACACGTTTTTTTACAACCTCGCATGATTTCTGAACGAATTATCCGTTACTCATCGTGTAAATTTATGGTAATTTGTGTAAATGGCGTGTTTTTCACCCCAAATATTCGCCAAATACACGGGACTTGCTAACAGTGTACGGCACATCTCGGCGGAACAAGCTCTCGTACGTTAAGAGCATCGCCCAACGCTATGAGCTCGCGCTTCTAGCCTTTTCTGCGGTACAACATAAGGTGAAACGGGGTATTGCGTTTGATTAGGTGTTGTTTTACTTTTGCGGCGAGAAAAACGCGTTTATTTTTTTCTCCCAAACACCCGGTACCTTAGAACCAGGCAGTGGGTTCGGTGGTAAAGCTTTGCGATCCTTGCAGGTTCTGACGCCTGCGCTGTGAATGTGTTCAATGAAACGACGCCGTCATTGCCGCTACGCATGAGCACGATGTTCACCCCGACCAGCCCTGGATTCAGCTTTACAACACTAACAGGTCCGTTCGTCTTTTCCAATTTTCTTTCATCTTTGCTTCTTTTGTGTTTGTATTCTGATGTTTTGGTTCACCGGGTATAAATATTCTGATACATTACTTAAACGTTATGGTTCCGTGTTATATGTATATATATATATATATATATATATATATATATATACCGGTAAACACTGAAAACTAACTCCCATGCCAGTTCTATCAAAACGGGCAAAAACCAAAAAGCACCCAATTGGAACTAATCTTAATAAAAAAATAGCAAAGTGGTAAGCTGTGCGAGTTGGTAAACGTTGAACATGATAAAAAATCTGACACAAAGAGACAAGTAAAAACGAGGTAGTGTGTCCTGTGTTTCCTCCTCGTTTCTCCTTGTATCTTTGTGCGCGATGTTTCGTCAAGTTCAAGAATAAAGTAAATTTTAGAGCGCAGCTCTTAGGGGCCCGTTCCCGGCTTGAGCGGCGTCGCCGTCGGCGTTGGCGTCGCAGTCGGCGTCGGCGTAACGAAGGTCACCCCAAGGTCACGTGAGCTCCCAAGGTCATCTGAAGGTCACGTGACCCCCAAGGTCACCGCACGGTCACGTGACCACCAAGGTCATCCCAAAGTCACGTGACCCCCAAGGTCACATGATCCCCAGAGGTCACGTGACCCCCAAGATCGCGTGACACCCAAAGTCACGTCCCCCAAGGTCACGTGACCAATCCGAGGCCCCTCAGGGTCACGTGAACCCCTCCCCCGAGGTCACGTGCCCCCCGATGACGTCATCGTCATTGATAACGTCATCAATGACGTCACTGATGACGTCACCGGCATCTGCATCGTCATCATCGCTGATGACGTCACCGGTGACGTCACTTATGACGTCACCGGCATCCGCATCGTCATCGTCATCATCACTGATGACGTCATCGGTATTCGCATCGTTATCGTCACTGATGACGTCATCGGCATCGTTACGTGACCCCCCAAGGTCACGTGACCCACCCCCCAGTAGCCTTCCCTCCTCATCCTCAAGAGCTGCGCTCAAATTCGGCGTTACAGGGAGTTGTAAACGGCTTTTTTACGAACAAAGTTTTGATCTCAGCTTTATTTTAGGTTTGCCGGCACACGCCCGGGGATTGTTGTAGACGTTACCCGAAAAAAAAAACACAACAACTAATGTATTACAGTTACTCTTGGTTAAAATATTTTAAATTAGATACCTCGATTACCCAAAACAAGAGAAAGTGGCCGCTACTTGAAAAAGTAACCATTATTTTTCCGACTACAGATTTTCAAAGCGACAGGTTTTTCAGCCGGTTAGAAAAAAGAGTCTTTCATTCTGTTACTAAATAGTTGACGGCGGCGACAAACGAATATACATGTATATTGAAAACATTATTCTGAAATTTAATAAAAAGTAACTAACCCCCCACCCCTTCCCCCCCCCCCCCCGAAAAATATCGTCCCGTGACGGTGGAGCGTGCATTTCGGCAGAAACTATCTAACGTACGATTGTGTCACGCGGCTAATTAAATATATCTACATGCAGGATTCCCTGGAAGCTCTGTATCAACTGCCATCCCTTTTCAAACCACGCCAAGAGCAGAAAAAACATCGTACACTGTGGAACGGGGAACTCAAACCTCCAGAACACTCAAACATACGTCGGAAACGTTACCAATGGAGTACTCTACCGCCGTGACCTCAACGTCTTATCCTAGGATAACAGGATCGCAAGTTGAATTCCCCTCAACAGAAGGCAGGATTTTATCAACGATATATTACCCGGGACCAATGCAGACCACTCCGGTGGTATCGCACGTTCCTCGAGAGCCCACAGAGATTCCCTATAGTTCCCCACCTGTTACACCTTTTAGCACCACCGAGGAAACACTAGAGATAAGTACTCGCCCAGAATTCGCGACAGTGATATCGACGGAACCTACTCCTCCAGCATGGCTGCCATCTAGAGAAACCAAAACGGCGCCTCCACCCTGGCCGACCGCATTATCTCCGAGTGTTCTTCCGCCACAGAGTACACCACTGAGCACCACCGGAGCAGTCCCAGAGACAACAACACCAGAAGAATTCAAGACAACTGAATTGAAACCGCCAACTTTTCTCCCTTCGCCTTCCCCCAGAAAAACAGAAGCGCCAACAGCGTCAGTTGTGACAGGGGTATTATCAAGTGGGCCACCAGTTATTACCCCAATGCGCACAACTGAAGAAGTACCAGAGATGACTACCAGTACAGAAGGCCCCATACCAACGGGAACGAAGCCGTCTTCTCAACCTAGTTGGTTCCACCCAATAGCTACACACACACCATTTCCTCCACTGCAGACGGAGACAGTGCCTAGTCTGCCAGGACATGTTACTCCCATGAGCACAACTGAAGTAACGCCCGTCAGCACTATTGAAGTAGCAGGAACGGTAACCAGTCCCGAAGGATTCACGACAGAAAAATCAACCGCACCTACTCCTCCAACGTGGTCGCCGTCTAGAGAAACAGAAACGACGCCCTCTTCCTGGCCGACTGCATTGTCCCCCAGTGTTCTACCACCAAAGAGTACAGTAATGAGCACCACTGCAGTAGTCCCAAAGACAACCTTTGCGCCCACAAAAACAACCAAATTGAAGCATACACCGATTCTCACCTCGCTAGTCTCCAGGCCAACAGAAGCGCCAACAATGTCAATAGAGACGAGAGTACCACCCAGCGGATCACCAGTTATTACTCCGATGAGTACAGCTGAAGTAGAACCGGAAACTACTTCTGCTACTGAAGGTGTTATGACTACAACGTTCAAGCTTCCGCCTCATTTGAATTGGTTTACTCCGATAAAAACAGAAACGTCAGTTCCCTCAGGACAGACAGAGATAGTGCCTAGTGTGCCGCCACATGTTACTCCCATGAGTACTACTGAAATAGTACCAGAGATTTCTACTGTTGCAAAATACCCCACGCCAACAGTATTCGAAATACCCACTCATCCGACTCGGTTCACTCCGATAGAAACAGAAACACCAGTTCCATCAGTACAAACAGAAATAGTGCCAAGTTTGCCGTCACATGTTACTCCCCCGAGTACTACTGATATAGTACCAGAAATCCCTACCGGAACAAAATTCTCTATGTCAACAGGATTGCAGCTACCCACTCATCCGACTCGGTTCACTCCGATAGAAACAGAAACACAAATCCCCTCAGTACAAACAGAAGTAGTACCCAGTTTACTACCACTTGTTACTCCCATGAGTACTACTGAAATAGCACCAAAAATTCCTATCGGTACAAAATTTCCTACACCAACAGGGTTCGAAATACCCACACATCCGACTAAGTTAATTTCGATAGAAACAGAAACATTAGTTCCATCAATACAGACGGAAAGAGTACCCAGTGTGCCACCACACATTACTCCCACGAGTACTATTGAAACAGTACCAGAAATTCCTACTGGAACGAAATTCCCCATGTCAACAGGATTCGAAATACCCACTCATTCGACTAGGCTCACTTCTATAGAAACAGAAACACCAGTTCCATCAGTACAAACAGAAATAGTACCCAGTTTGCCGCTACATGTTACTCCAATGAGTACTACTGAAATAGTACCCGAAATTCCTGCCGGTACAAAACTCCCTACACCAACAGGGTTCGAAATACCCACACATCCAACTCAGTTAACTTCGATAGGAACAGAAACACCAGTTCCATCAGTACAAACAGAAATAATACCCAGTTTGCCACCACACGTTACTCCCGTGAGTACTACTGGAATAGTACCAGAAATTCCTACCGGTACGAAATTCCCTAGACCAACAGGGTTCGAAATACCCACACATACGACTCGGCTAATTTCGATAGGAACAGAAACACCAGTTCCATCAATACAGACGGAAAGGATCCCCAGTGTGCCGCCATATGCTACTCCCATGAGTACTACTGAAACAGTACCAGAAATTCCTACTGGAACAAAATTCCCTATGTCACCAGGATTTCAACTACCCACTCATTCGACTCGGTTCATTTCGATAGAAACAGAAACACCAATTCCATCAGTACAAACGAAAATAGTACCCAGTCTGCCGCCACATGTTACACCCATGAGTACTACTGAAATAGTACCAGAAATTCCTATCGGTACAAAATTCCCTACACCAACAGGGTTCGAAATACCTACACATCCGACTCGGTTAACTTCGATAACAGAAACACTACTTCCATCAATACAGACGCAAGGAGTACCCAGTGTCCCGCCACATCTTATTCCCATGAGTACTACTGAAATGGTACCAGAAGTTCCTACTGGAACAAAATTCCCTATGTCAACAGGATTTAAACCACCCACTCATTCTACTCGGTTTACTTCGATAGAAACAGAAACACCAGTTCCATCTGTACAAACAAAAATAGCACCCAGTTTGCCACCACATGTTACTCCCATGAGTACTACTGAAATAGTACCAGAAATTTCTACCGGTACAAAATACAGCACGCCAACAGAATTCGAAATACCTACTCATCCGACTAGGTTCACTCCAATAGAAACAGAAACACCAGTTCCATCAATACAAACAGAAATAGTACCCAGTTTGCCGCCACATGTTACTCCCATGAGTACTACTGAAATAGTACCAGAAATTCCCAGTGGAACAAAATTCCCTACACCAACAGGGTTCGAAACACCTGCACATTCAACTCGGTTAACTTCCATAGTAACAGAAACACCAGTTCCATCAATACAGACGGAAAGAGTACCCAGTGTGCCGCCACATGTTATTCCCATGAGTACTACTGAAACAGTACCAGAAATTTCTACTGGAACAAAATTCCCTATGTCAACAGGATTTAAACCATTCACTCATTCGACTCGGTTCACTTCGATAGAAACAGAAACACCAGTTCCATCTGTACAAACAGAAATAGCACCCAGTTTGCCACCACATGTTAGTCCCATGAGTACTACTGAAATAGTACCAGAAATTTCTACCGGTACAAAATACAGCACGCCAACAGAATTCGAAATACCTACTCATCCGACTAGGTTCACTCCGATAGAAACAGAAACACCAGTTCCATCAATACAAACAGAAATAGTACCCAGCTTGCCGCCACATGTTACTCCCATGAGTACTACTGAAATAGTACCAGAAATTCCCAGTGGAACAAAATTCCCTACACCAACAGAGTTCGAAGCACCTGCACATTCAACTCGGTTAACTTCCATAATAACAGAAACACCAGTTCCATCAATACAGACGGAAAGAGTACCCAGTGTGCCGCCACATGTTACTCCCATAAGTACTACTGAAACAGTACCAGAAATTTCTACTGGAACAAAATTCCCTATGTCAACAGGATTTAAACCATTCACTCATTCGACTCGGTTCACTTCGATAGAAGCAGAAACACCAGTTCCATCTGTACAAACAGGAATAGTACCCAGCTTGCCGTCACATGTTACTCCCATGAGTACTACTGAAATAGTACCAGAAATTTCTACCGGTACAAAATACCTTACGCCAACAAAATTCGAAATACCCACTCATCCGACTCGGTTCACTCCGATAGAAACCGAAACACCAGTTCCATCAGTACAAACAGAAATAGTACCCAGTTTGCTGCCACATGTTACTCCCATGAGTACTACTGAAATAGTACCAGAAATTCCTACCGGTACGAAATCCCCTACACCAACAGGGTTCGAAACACCCGCACATTCATCTCGGTTAACTTCGATAGGAACAGAAACACCAGTTCCATCAGTACAAACAGAAATAATACCCAGTGTGCCACATGTTACTCCCATGAGTACTACTGAAATAGTACCAGAAATTCCTACCGGTACAAAATTCCCTACATCAACAGGCTTCGAAACACCTGCACATTCAACTCGGTTAACTTCGATAGAAACAGAAACACCAGTTCCATCTGTACAAACAGGAATAGTACCCAGTTTGCCGTCACATGTTACTCCCATGAGTACTACTGAAATAGTACCAGAAATTTCTACCGGTACAAAATACCTTACGCCAACAGAATTCGAAATAGCCACTCATCCGACTCGGTTCACTCCGATAGAAACAGAAACACCAGTTCCATCAGTACAAACAGAAATAGTACCCAGTTTGCTGCCACATGTTACTCCCATGAGTACAACTGAAATGGTACCAGAAATTCCTAGCGGAACGAAATTCCCTACTCCAACAGGGTTTGAAACACCTGCACATTCAACTCGGTTAACTTCGATAGGAACAGAAACACGAGTTCCATCAATACAGACGGAAAGAGTACCCAGTGTGCCGCCACATGTTTCGCCCATGCGCACTACCGAAATACTACCGGAAATTCCTACCGGTACAAAATTCCCTACATCAACAGGCTTCGAAACACCTGCACATTCAACTCCGTTAACTTCGATAGAAACAGAAACGCCAGTTCCATCAGTACACACAGAAATAATACCCAGTTTGCCGCCACATGTTACTCCCATGAGTACTACTGAAATAGTATCAGAAATTCCTACCGGTACAAAATTACCTACGCCAACAGGGTACGAAACACCTGCACATTCATCTCGGTTAACTTCGATAGGAACAGAAACACCAGTTCCATCAGTACAAACAGAAATAATACCCAGTGCGCCACATGTTACTCCCATGAGTACTACTGAAATAGTACCAGAAGTTCCTACCGGTACAAAATTCCCTACACCAACAGCGTTCGAAACACCCGCACATTCAACTGGGTTAACTTCGATAGAAACAGAAACACCAGTTTCATCAGTACAAACAGAAATAATACCCAGTGTGCCACCACATGTTACTCCCATGAGTACTACTGAAATCGTACCAGAAATTCCTACGGGTACAAAATTCCCTACACCAACAGGGTTCGAAACACCTGCACATTCAACTCGGTTAACTTCGATAGGAACAGAAACACCAGTTCCATCAATACAGACGGAAAGAGTACCCAGTGTGCCGCCACATGTTACTCCCATGAGTACTACTGAAATAGTACCAGAAATTCCTACCGGTACAAAATTTCTAATACCAACAGGGTTCGAAACACCTGCACATTCAACTCGGTTAACTTCGATAGAAACAGAAACACCAGTTGCATCAGTACAAACCGAAATAATACCCAGTTTGCCGCCACTTGTTAGCGCCATGAGTACTACTGAAATAGTATCAGAAATTCCTACTGGTACAAAATTCCCTACGCCAACAGGGTTCGAAACACCTGCACATTCAACTCGATTAACTTCGATAGGAGCAGAAACACCAGTTCCATCAATACAGACCGAAAGAGTACCCAGTGTGCCGTCACATGTTACTCCCATGAGTACTACTGAAATAGTACCAGAAATTCCTACTGGAACAAAATTCACCATGTCAACAGGATTCGAGATGCCCACACATCCGCCTCGGTTCACTCCTATAGAAACAGAAACACCAGTTCCATCAATAGAAACAGAAATAATACCCAGTTTGCCGCCACACCTTACTCCCATGAGTACTACTGAAATAGTACCAGAAATTCCTACAACAAAATTCCCCATGTCAACAGTATTCAAACTACCCACTCATCCGACCCGGTTCACTCCGATAGAAACAAAAACACCTGTTCCCTCAGGACAGACTGGGATAGTGCCGAGTGTTCCACCAATTGTTTCTGTCATGAGCACGACTGGAGTGATACCTGAAACCACTAGTAGTGCAGGCGGCCTTATTCCAACAGGAATGAAGTTATCAACTCATCCGACTGGGTTTACCCCAATAGAAACAGAAACTCCATCTACCCCAGGACAGACAGCGATATCGCCTAGTTTACCTCCATATTTTACTCACATAAGTACTCCTGAAGTAACATTAGAAATTACTACTACCACAAAAGGCCTCACGCAAACAGGATTCTATCCTCCGTCTCACCCGACGTCGTTCCCTCCGACTGCTACAAGGATATCTCTTCTTCCAGGGCAGACAGAAATACTACCTACTGCTACTCCGCCTATTACTCCCATAAGCACCACCGAAGTTGTACAAGAGATAACTGCAACTAGTGGAAGCCTTCCCTCAACAAGGTTCAAGCCGCCGCTATATTCGACTCGGTTTCCTCCCACCGAAACAGTAACACCTGTTCCTTCTCTGCAGAAAGAGGTACATCCTAGTGTTCCGCCACATATTAGTACCGTTAGCCCTCTCGAAAGAAGAACAACAGAGATAACGTTTACCGAAAGCTCTCCTGCGAGTGAATCGATCTCACACCCAAGGCCTACAGAGCTGCCTTCAAGAGAGCAAACGACCATTCCACCATCTTTACGATCAATATATCCGTTTACTTTTGTTCCAACACAGATCACACCCTTTAGCACGACTGAAGTTGTAGCACCAATCACCACTGGTGAAGCTTCCTCTCATCCGACTTGGCTTCCTTCTAAAGAAGCAACGTCTCCTCCTCCTGGCTTGACACAAATATTTCCTACATCACAAGAAACAGTTATTTCTGCAAGTTCTCCCCGCGCGGGAACGCTATTCAGTACTGCCGTCAGCGCCACGAGAAGACTACCTGGTGGCACTGGGGTGCCGAAAACAACGGAACTGTCCCCATCTTCAGCACCTGGAGTGTGGCCTTCAACGAAAGAAGAATTAACATCTTCTGGATTACAGTCTGTAATATACCCGTCCGCTCCTCCTATTAGTGGCAGTGCTGGCACTACGGAAATTAGTCCTGCATCGCCGATATTCGGTACGCACACCTCAATGAGTAGTACCCCTAAGACATCACCAAGTCCTTTTACAAAGGAAGGGGAAACCGGCGGTCAAATACACACTACCCTACCTCCTTCTGAAACAACATCTTATGAAGTTTCTACAGGAACTGGCGGCATAGTCGTAACATCTTTATCACAAAGTACTGTCGAAGTTTCTACGGAGGTTATTACACCCGAAATAGGTTATCTCATGCAACTTCTTGCCATCCTGCGCAAGGACCTGGGGTACCTTACCGTAAACTCTACGGTTCTCAGATCTCTTTTTATTGAGGTGGCTTACATTGGGACTACAAGGGCTTACGACATCTTTTCTCTCGCCCTGACAGATCTGAAGCGACATTGTGACCGCCTCGACCCCAGTCAAAGAGTTATAGTAGCCTTCGAAATTGCCCGCTTCCTGAAAACCTACGGCACTAAGATTCCTCACAATATCGTGGTTCAAGCTGTGAGCGTCTTTCTGTGTGCTATTGACCACAAGAGTATCATCACCAAGCTTTTTCCAAAAGAGGCTTATGTAATTGGAATCGCTGAAACCGTTGTCGACGATCTTACTCCACCCGACCTAATTCATTTGATTCATCTGCTTTATGCGGAGCGCAACATAAGCAGAGTCGAAGAATCTCCATGCGCTGGCATTCTCTGCGAAGAAGTGCCCGAAAGCATCATGGACACAATTGATATGCTAGTAGACCGGTATTTTCCAAATTCCGCGCCCCAAAAGAAGTGGCTCATAATTGATATCGCGAGAGCACTGAACTTGCAGCCAGAGGTAGACGAAGACGGGGATGAGATGGTATATTATAAACTTGGAGACTACGGCGTCGTTTTGGACGAGCTACGAGAACCGATGCTGTCGGAAGACGAAAAAGCTCTTCTCACTGGAAAGTTCTTCGCAGAAGCACGTAAAAATGCCAAGGCGAACCGTAAAATAAACGTCAGCGACTTGGAAGAAGTGTGGAAAATGGGAGAGGGTAATTTACCGCTTACAGCCGTTAGGTCGTTCATAGCCCTACTGAAAGTAGTTCACGCCAAGAAGATCGCCCTGGAGCCGAACGATCGTGCAAGACTGCTGGAAATAGCTCTCCGTTGCGACGGTCACGAGTGTACAAAGCTGCCCTCGAGAGACATCCACAACCTAATTTTCGCGCTCTGCAACGTGGGCATTCGGGACGGCTTTGCACTTTCGAAAGAAGTAAAGAAGAAGGTTTCAGACTTCATCGTGGCGCTTAAGGACGCCTACATCGACTCAATTTCGCTGAGGCGGTGGAAGCGCAGCTCCGAATTGCTGAAGCCGAAGGCTCACGACTACCTCTCCGAGAGCTCTCCGTCTGAACTCAAATACCTGAAGGGGTGGCTCCAGGCCCCCATAAACCTAGATGACCACCATTTTGACAACCCGGGACAAGGCCGTTCTTTGAGTGATCCTCAAGTTCGTAACCAAACGCTAATTTCCGAACTCTTTCAGTCCTACACAAACGAGAAAAGCCCCAAACGCAAGGCCATGCTTGCTGAAACCTTGCTGGACAGTTATAACCACAGCTTCAGGGCACTTGGTGCTGGCGTGAAGGACACAGAGAAGTTCATCGTCTCGGTGCTTCGGCAACTGCCGGCCACCACGACCAGGCAGAACTCCCTCGTGCTTGGTATTCTGGATCAATGCATCGGGTTAGGAGAACCTTGCATCAATGTGACAAGATCGGAAGACGTTGCACCTCTGAAGGTTATACTGCAGAACATGTCCCTGGAGAGAAGTCCGAACCTCGTGTCCACGCTCGCCCACAAGCTGCAAGACGCCGGGAAGAGGAATGGCGGGCACTTTGATCTGTCGTGGATGCAACCCCGTCCGTCAAAGAAGAAGAGTTCGAAGGGCAAGGTCACCAAGCAGAAGTCTCCGTTAGCGGAAAGAATGAAAGTTCCGTCTTGAGAATGGGGCTCTTGCCGCTTCATACGATTTTGGGGAAGAATAGAAAAATAGAACAAGAAAATTAAAAGGGTGGGGGAGGCGAACTTTCGAGTAGGTTGTTAGTTATGTGTCCTTGTTTTTGTCCAATCGGCTATTCAATTTGAAGCACTGTGGTTGTAATAAAAAATGCTTCTGTTCTTGAGTCTATTTGTGTTCGCTGAAGTCGACCTGGGATGTACCGTTTCTATAGTTAAAGTCGCCGTAATTTGACCACTAGACACGAATCTCAGTGTTTTCCGCTATGAGGTGGTAAGGTGCCGGAACCTGATGAAACTGAAACGGGTAGGAGGCCTAGTGCTGGAGACATTCATATGCGCGGGAGGAGTGTCGTAGTCTCTACACTCGTGCATTGAACCAGGTAACTCGACAGTTAAACGACCTCACTGCCTTTTTTAGTTGCTGCAAGCGTAGTGTGCACATTGCTTCACTTCGTGGTTTTGGCTTGGGGCTACGGGGCAGCCATATTATTTACTGTAGTTTATAAAACTTTTTTCTTAAACCGTCTTGTTAAAGTATCAACTGAACAACTGGTTTAAAGATATCATTTTGCTGGTAAAAGGATAGGCGCGCGTTATTGGCACATTTATTATTCCTCCTTTGGTGTACCCACCGCATTCTCGAACGCAGAAGGGTGGGTTCAGAGCAACGTCACCTTTAAGTTTAACGTATATAACCTAGGTAAATTGAAAACTTTGTTGTACGGCGAAGCCGTAGATTGAACCCAAAGGTGCCAGTGTTTTCTCGAAATTTGTTTCAGCATGAACGTTTGTTGTCGCTACTTAAAATATGGATTTTCTTTATTTTCACTAGCTGGAAGTCTTTCAGCGCTACATAGTTAACGAAGACGCGGACGGACGTTGCTGCTAACTGTAGTTGCGTTTCTACATCAATGAATACCATAAAGAAAGTGACAAAGGTAAGAAGACTTGGCTACGGTGGACTTACATCATAAGGCCGTTTTCTTTTATTCCACGTCGAGAAATACAAGGCGATACATCTCCTGCGAGAAAAGAGTCCCCATTCTCGTGCTTATTTTTCACCCCATTAGGTTTGCAGTACGGGCGGGACAAGTATCCACATTCGTAAAGTAGTCCTACTGATGCTCGTCAACAGGAACCTGCTGCCATGGACAACTGGAGGCGTAAAATAACAGTAAACATCCGTGACATACCCGAGAAAGCCTGTAGCAGTTCAGGCACAAACCACAATTGGTCTCAATTACGGCACCTAGAACGCGTCTTAAACTGGTGTGTGTTTTATGTAATTCCTCTTATTTACATCAGCATAACTGGTCCCTGCTTCGATCGAGTCCAGACCCTGTTCTCGTGCGAGTCCAGCTCTCAGTCTCGTGCCCCGTGCAAGCGGGAGCACATCATCTTCACACGCACCTGGTTCGCTCTGGCCTCACCCATGGCCAGTCGCTACCACACATCCCCCTCCCCTTGGGAATGATCAGTCATCTAAGTATCGAGAAGGACGTCTAATGCAGCGTCCCGTCCTTGTGTGAGGATGCGATGCGTCCTCGCACCCCTCCTGTGGTACTTCTTGCCCATCACTATCGGCAGGAGCCGCAAAATTCGTGAAGGTCTGAGTGGTCTCATTGGTGTATGGTACGAGATGTGTACGATTTCTTCGCACGACGCTTTGGCCGGTGTCAACGAGATATGAGCGTGGCTCTGATGTTGGGCACTGCACCGTTCCCTTCCTTTGGAGATCGACAACCCATACGTCTGTTCCATCGACTATGCCGGGCAGATGGCGGACACCATGGTGTTTGTCGTAAGCCGACCGTTGCTTGAGCCGGTAGCTTGTTTCAAACTTCGCGAGCTGCTCTAGGTTTGGAGCTGTTGGCTTCAGCAGTCTGTTCGGGATGGGAAGCTTTGACCGCAGTCGGCGTCCCATAAGTAGCTCGGCTGGGCTGTACCCGTTTTTCAGGGGTGTTGTTCGATAAGACAGCAGGGTCTCATACGGGTCTCTTGTCTTATTCATGGAGCTCTTTATTATTTTCACTGCAGCTTCCGCAAGTCCATTGCTTTTTGGATAGTGAGGGCTCGAGGTTATATGTTGGAAGCCGTATTCTCTAGCAAAAGTGGCGAATTCTGAGGTTGGCACTCGTGAAAATTGTGGGCCATTGTCCGAGACGACAACTTCTGGAATACCGTGTCGTGCAAAGATACTCTTGCAATGGTTCACTACGACTTGTGCGGTCGTATTCTCCAGGCGGGCGATCTCTGGATATCTTGAGAAATAGTCGGTCACGATCAACCACCATTGCCCCTTCTGGTAGAATAAATCCATTGCGATCCGTTGCCAAGGTCTCTCGGGGAGTTCGGTGGGTTTAAGCGGCATCTTTCTATTTGTTGATCCTTCGATGAAAAGATGACAGCTCTTAACTTTTTCTTCAATTTCTTTCATCATTCCTGGCCACCACAACGTCTCTTTAGCTCGCGCCTGGGTCTTTTCGATGCCAAAGTGTCCCTCGTGAAGAAGACGCAAAATTTCCGATCTGCAAGATGTTGGCACAAGGATCCTTGCTGTGAACATAAGCAAGTCGTCTTCGAAGGTGAACTGATGGCGAAATGGGTAGAAAGGCTTAACTTCGTTGTTGAGGTCACGCCGGCAGGGCCATGTATTCTTGCAATAGTATCTTATTTGCTGACAAACCGGATCCTTTTCCTGGCTGTCGATGAGCCACTGGAGGCTGGAACTGACAGCCGGAACGGTTGACCTTACAAATTGGACGAATGCTTCAACCTCTTCTTCCAGTTCAGACGACTCTTTCAGGGGAAGAGGTGCTCTTGAGAGCGTGTCTGCGGCCATGAGCTGCTTTCCTGGAACGTATGTTATCTCGTACGTGTATCTCATCATACGCATGCGCATTCGCTGAAGTCGTGGAGTGAGATCGTTTAAAGACTTGGAAGAAAATAGACTCACGAGAGGCTTGTGGTCAGTCTCTAATTTGAATGTTTTCCCGACGAGGTAGTCGCTGAACTTTTCGCACGCCCACACTGACGCGAGGCCCTCTTTCTCTATTTGCGCGTAGCGTTTTTCTGTATCTGTCAGCAGTCTCGAGGCATAGGCGATGACTTGGAACCTCCCGTCGTCTTGTCGTTGACGGAGAATGGCGCCAAGTCCATACGATGAGGCATCTGCGGTCACTACCGTTTCTTTGTTGGCATCGTAGATGCCCAGTACTGGTTCAGATGATAAGACAGCTTTCCATCTGTCAAATGCGTTTTGCTGGACTGGTCCCCAGACGAACTCTTGCTTCTTTGAGAGCATCGCAGTTAGTGGCTGCAGGATTTCGGCGAAGTTGGCTACGAACCGAGCCAGATAGGTCGCCATTCCGAGGACCCTCTGTAGCTCTGTTCTTGATGTAGGCGGTGGCATAACAGCCTTGAGTTTTGAAATGTCGGGTCGAATTCCTAAGCTGTCTATTCGGTGACCAAGAAACGTGAGTTCCTGTACACCAAACAAGCATTTGTCCTTGTTGAGAGTAATTCCTGCACTGCAGATCTTTTCAAGGACGTTACGGAGTCTTTCGTCGTGTTCTTCTTTGCAGGATCCCCAAATCAGAACATCGTCCATGAGGCATACGACACCGCTGAGTCCTTCAAGGATGCTTGACAGTTGTTTTTGGAAATGTTCTGGAGCAGATGAGATCCCGAATGGGAGTCGGTTGAAACAAAATCTGCCGAAAGGTGTGATAAACGTGGTGAATTTCTTGCTTTCGTCGCTCAGGGGAATCTGCCAAAACCCGGAGTTAGCGTCGAGTTTCGAGAAGATTTTCGCGCCATGAAGAAGGCCAAGAGTATGTTCGACGGACGGAATGGGATGCCACTCTCTCAAGACATAGCGATTTAATTCTGTGAAGTCAACGCATATGCGCACTGCTCCAGTCCGCTTTGGTACTATCACCATGGGTGCGCACCATTCGGTTGGGTCACTGACAGGGGAGATGACGCCGATGTCCTCCATACGTTGAAGTTCTTGCTTCGTCTTTTCGTATAGTGGGATCGGGACACGACGTGGCGAGCTTAGAGCAAACGGTTTCGCGTTCTCCTGGAGCTGCAGGTGATATTCCCCAGGGAATGTTCCCAACCCTGTGAACAGTGATGGAAAGTCGACTTTCGGGTTTACCGTCGTTTCGATCCTGTTGATTGGTGAAAGTAGTTGGAGCCCTTCGATAGCCGGCTTTCCTAAAAGGGGTATGGTAACGTCTTGGAGAACATAAATGTTCTGCTCGGACACTCGGTCCTTGTAGGACATTGCGAGGCGTACCACACCTTGTATTGCTAGCGCCTTTCCGTCTGGTCCACGAAGTTGGCGAGGTGGATTCTGCAGTAGCGGCTGTGGTTCAAGCTTGTTGAACACCGCTGGTGGGATTACCGTTTCGTCGGCGCCTGTGTCGATCTTAAATCTCACTGGCTCGGACTGGATTAACACGTCAACCTCCCAACTATTAACTTGCGGAGATGTCACTATTCCAAGGAAACCGACGTTGGGACCTGGAGCTTCTACGAAGTCCACTCTTTTTGACAGGCATACCTCGGAGAAGTGTCCTTTCTTGTGGCAATTTGTGCATACTTTAGACCGCGCTGGACACGAAGTGCGTGGATGCGTGTCTCTCCCACACCACCTGCATCGTGCTCGGTTGTCTGATGGTATGGTCAGCGGACGTTGCTGGTATGGAGTGTTTTCCCTCTGTCTTCTATCGTCAGGACCCTCGCGTTTGTTTGTACTGAGGGCCGTAGAAGCAGTTTTTTCTTTGTCCGATGACGAAATCTTGTGGACGTTCGAATTTCGATCCTGGTTTAGTTCCTCCTGTTGTTTGCGCACGCTTTCTACTTGTCGGGCTGTTTCCAGCGCTGTCTGAAGCGTTAGTTCGGCGTTAAGCTGTAGCTTTGCAGAGAGTTTTGAGTCTTGAATGCCGACAACGAAGCGATCCCTCACCAGTTGCTCTCGCAGATTGCCGTAGTCGCAGTCCTTCGACAGGGTATGAAGTGTCGTTGCGAACTCTTCAATGGACTCTCCGTCTTGTTGGGATCTCATGTTGAAGCGTGCCCGCTCGAAAATTATGTTCCGCTTTGGGATGAAGTAGCTGTCAAACCTTTGCAGTACGACGTCGAAATTCTTGGAATCCTCCGCGGACAACTGGAAAGTGCTGAGAACGTCCTCTGACTGATCTCCCATTATATAAAGGAAGGCGTCAATTTGGTGTTCCTCAGGCTTTGTGCAAAGTCCTGATGCGGTTCGGAACCGTTCGAAGCGTTTCTTCCACTTGGGCCACTCATTGGGTGACGTAAAGCAGAAAGGTTCAGGTGGCTGAATCATAAACGATGCCATCGAAGCAGAAGGTTTGAGGCTGGCTTCAGCCATTGCTCACCTTTCTGTGCAGCAGGTGAAGACTGTTCGTTGTTCCTCTATTCTGACACCATGTTTTATGTAATTCCTCTTATTTACATCAGCATAACTGGTCCCTGCTTCGATCGAGTCCAGACCCTGTTCTCGTGCGAGTCCAGCTCTCAGTCTCGTGCCCCGTGCAAGCGGGAGCACATCATCTTCACACGCACCTGGTTCGCTCTGGCCTCACCCATGGCCAGTCGCTACCACACAGTGTGTTTATTGCCCCATCTCACCCGTGCATCGAAAGTGGACTCCAAGTGCCGATGGAGCAAGTGTCGCTGTCGTTGTGGCGTCCCATCTCGTGTCTGCTTTGACTTCCATCGACAGTCTGACTGCAGAGAGACTTACAGCAGAACAGGTGACCGCCGTCGTACACCTTTGCCGCTCTGTCACCGCCAAGATGGCAAACAGGGCAACTGTAGGATAGTTTTATGACGTCATCGGGTGGAAATCCAGGGACCACTTTTGAGGATGTGGTAAACAGGCACGTTGGTGACACGGTCCAAGCACCATCTCGGTGCCATAGATAAAACAAGGTTAGTATGTGTTCGTGAAAAGCAATAACAAAAATTGTGATCACCGTAAGCATAGCTCCGAGTACATTTAAGTGAAGCTTCAAGCATTGACGTGCCTCATTTGCTGCATGCACCCATTACACATGCTGCCGGACGCTGCGTGTCTAATGGGATATTTAGACCTTGGCATAGACGACATCGGCGTTAATGACATCAAGGCATAAGAAAGCCTCAACGTGGGCAGAACAGGAATGTATGAGAACGTAAACTGGAAGGTTTACAGGTGTGCCGAAATAGCCTTACGAAGTATTTTATTTTACCAATATAAATTAAGTTTCACTCTGGTTTTGGGAATTGCAATTTTTCGGGAATATATATGGATATTACATTCTACTCTTTCGGAGGTTATGGGCCGACCTACCTGATTTCTTCACCTTTGCTATTTGTTTTTCTTGCGCTTGCCATAATACAAGTTTCAGATGGTTGATGTTTCAGTCAATATAATAATAGTTTATTTTAATTCATTTTCTTTACGCTATGTCACCAATCAGCTAAATCGAGGATGTCCTCATTTTATGGGCTATGTTCCCTAGTCACAGCTTATTGCTATCTGTAGGTGAGGAGTCATCTGTTTTAGACACGTCAAAAGCTTATTAAATGTTTGGTGAGACATTTCTCAAAATCAGTCAAAAAGGTTTTAAAACTTAAAGTAAAGTAAAAGAGATGCTGGATGAGAAGGCGGGTGAAGCGACGCGATGCAGTTTTATGAAAAATGGATGTTCTGAAAGTGCCTCCTTCTTTTTTAGTATATTTTCTTCGCCGAGCAATATGTTCCCCTCGAATACTTGGAAATCTACAAAAGGAAAAAGCGTAGCACCCTAAAAGACCGTGTGAGCAGAGGAGGGCAAACATAAATGCATTTAGTTAGAAGGACGGTGTATAGATGGCGGCACCGCTCCGGCTTCCTCGACTACCCATGCGCCTTTCTCTCATCAGCCTTAATCGGCGCGCTATTTTCAAACGAATTCTTACCTCATGGTAGAATCCTCACGAGAATATTTTGATGAGAGTCTGTTCCGGTAACTGAAGTGCCAGTGTAGTCAATTTGAAACTTTTCCCAGTGAAGTGTTTTTCGTGTGTGTAGCGGCACTGGAAGGGAATGTATTTTTTCCCGGAATTGTTGAAGAAATACAAAATCTCAAACATCCGGAAAGAAGCCACATTTTCAAAAGATTATTCCCAAGATATACGAGATTCAGGTACTCTGACGTTATATTAGCATAAATGTTCCAAGACGCCCTTCGGAAGCAACAAAATGCGGTGAGGTCACTGTCTTCATCACTTTTCGAAGACACAAACAAATTGGGATAGTTGTGAGAATCGCTCTCTAAGTATCCGTTTTCTTTTGCCCACTCAATTTTACTGTGCTGTAACGGCTGTTTTCATTAATATATTTTTTTTTCTGGTTTTAAGTTAGTTTTTAAGGATATGCATTTTCTGGTGAGAACCTCTTGAAAGAAGCCATGTACAGTCAACACCATCTAGAATAATGAAGGCTTTCGAACGCCCCGCTCTCCCTCCACGGAACGTTGTCACAGTTGGATGGCGCGAACTAGGCGATTGGACCCGAGTACAATGCTGAGCGTCATTCGACGCGCTGATTGGATACGAGGCCCAGCCGAGCACTGACGCAGCACTCGACTCCAATCAGTGCCTTTCGCTCCATCTCAATGTGATGATGTCAGACTTTTTAGCGCACGGGCTTTGATTATTCTAGGTGGATAGCCTGTTAAATAAAACGCCTAAGTGGAGATCAGAGGCGCCTAACAATAAAACCGATGATGCTGCAAAAATTAAAGTGGCCAAAATGGTATTCTCAGACGGTCGCCAATTCCTCTTTGAACCCATTGCATGGCCCCTTGTTTCTGTCTTTCTCACAATATTTTTTTGGTCCGGGCGGTTGTAACTTCTCAAATAAGTTCAAACTTCACGTTAACACCACGCATTGGTGATTTCTTTATTGGCGTCGTGTACTGCGAACGTCAGAGAGCTACCAAGCCGCGACAGCAAAAGACGCAAGCAGTACCTTTGTAGAGACGCGTGGTATATTGAACAGTTGAATGCCCTGTTCAAACGTCGATCATTTAATAAAACGTAAATATTTCTTGGTATTTCTATGGCGATATGAATTAAGCGCTGCGCTTGCAGTTTAGCACTTTCTTATTTCTGGTCAGTTTTCTTGTCACGTACATTAAACAAAGCAAAGTAGTGCACGTATTAAACAGAAAAAATAATTAGCTCGCATAGGGATTTGCTTACGTTTGGCCAACTACTTGACGTGCTCAGAAAATAAGCTTTGTTTAGAAATAAACAACGATATGTTTTGTGAAATTATTTAATTTAGTTCATTCTACGTGTCTTAGTATGATTTGACATAATTGATTTTGATGTTAAGGCCTTCGACATTCTGTTTCATAAGGTTTTGGACTCCCTTCTTTTTAATTATTACTGTCGCTTGAATCTCGAGCCATCATTTCTGATGTCTACAATGAAGGCACTTAGTGCCACTAAGTGCCTTCATTGCAACGATATTGTTAAATAATGATTCCGATACTTTACGAGGGTAGAAAGTTGAGCGAGTTGGTGATTCATAAAAATTAAAAAGCGCGACAGGACAACGGACACAGAAGGAGACACAGACACAGCAAGCGCTGTGTCTGTGTCTGTGTCTCCTTCTCTGCCCGTTGTCCTGTCGCGCTTTTTAATCATTCCGATACTTTATAAACATCCGTTGGAAGATCTGAAGGTACAACCGGTGGGTGCTTCAGAAATTTGTATTCACTTTCTCCACCACATCTTTCTTGGCCAGATGAAATCTACTTCTCCGCAATGCATCATACGCGATCTATCACCCTTCGTGATACCCATACGAACTCGATTCCGAACCATTACTTTACTCATAGCATTTAGTTTGTAAATTTCGCAAACTCGTCAGTGGATCTTTTATAATCTGCATGGTCAGACATTCGTCGCCTAAAGAAGACTTTCCGAGAGACCAGACTGGGAAAGATATGATTTTTGGTCTCTCGAAAAGCTTGGCGTTTCGACTTTGTTCTTGAAGGAAGTAAGAACAGCAGAGGAAGACAGGGAGGTTGACCTGGGGACTTTTCCAGGGCGGCTACTACTTCAAGGACACCATCAAACATTCTGATGTGAAACTAGAGCAGTTTGGCACGCCCTTGCAACGTCTCAGGTACGAAACATGAGGTGGCGCCACTGAGAACGGTCGCCTCCGCTATACCAAGACTGCAAAGACCGGTTCACGCGTACGACGCAGAGCTAAATCAACACCAGGAAGAGCGCTGATGGGGCGCTGACATGCACGTAATTTGAGCAGTGTAGCTCAGCATTAGCACTGAACCGCTGAAGGCCGGTTAACGCCTGGGGCACAGCGCTGAGGTAGCCCAAAGGCAATAGGGAGTATTAGAATAGCGCACGCTAAAGCTTCGCGTGCGCAAAGAATAGCGTCGTCGCCACTGCGCATGCTCCAAACGCAAATCAGGTTTCGCGCTTTGCGTGCGCAGTTTTAGCGTGCGCTATTTCTCGGAAATAGCGTGCATACGCAAAGAGTCTTTGCGCTTCTAAAAAGAGGATTCGTGATGACAACTTGGCTAAAGCCAAGACGAGCAGAGTTAAAAAAAAATGGCGGCTTCCAGTATTGTGTCGGCGGCCGTTTTGGCGGCGTCGTGAGTGGACGTCGGCAGCATCCTCGCGACTGCAATTTTGAATACGGGACGACATTGTACTTGGTTTGGCAACGATCACCGGCAACTTGCAACAAGCTCGTTGGCAACTTGATGCTTGCGACGCGCGAACATCTCTCGGCGAAGGTACGATCTGTGAAGGTCAGTACACAAGACCTCTCTTGCCGAGGCGACGCAAGTGGACACGACCGGTCAACCGCTCATATCGCATTCTCATGTTTAAACAAATCTAAAATGCTACTCTGGACCGAAAAACTTGTTTGTTTTTTTCTAGACTTACAGCTTTTCGTGTGAGATGAAAATTGTTACTGTATCTTGGTGGCGTCGCAAGCGAGATGCTTGGCCTTTTGCGTCGCGACGGAGAAACGCTATTCTAAAACTCTCTTGCGTCGCGTGCACTAATACAAGCGCTAAATTTAGCGCTAGTCGTGCGCTAAAATTGCGTACGTTATTCTAAAGCTCCCTATCGTATCAGGGCTATCGTTAGCGCAGACTCAGTACTGAGATGGCGCTACATTATGTTCGTAAATAATAAAATGCATAAATAATAAATCGTTATTTCCATCGATCATGATGGTGGGACCCGAGGAAGAAAGCTGCCATGTGCGGCTTGACGGGTCCTCGCGCCCCTACAAGGGTGAGCTCAGGGTTGGTCAGTGCCGCGATAGTATTTAAGAAATATATTTCATATATGCATTTCTTTATCGCGATACATTTTTTTTCACCGGTATCTGTATTCCTGTATCAAAATATATTTGGAATGTTTCTTTGTATCGCAATACAACCCGGATCAAATGTATTTTGTTACATTTCTTCAGAAATACTCCCCCGCCCCCCCCTCCCCCCCCCCAAAAAAAAAAAATACAAACAAACAAAAAACATACAAGTTCGAACGCCTTTTCTTTTTTAACTTCTGAGGGCACCAGCATCAAAGAGATTCTGGGGCATTCTTAGTATGCCGACCAAGGTTCTTTCCGATTCTCCAAGCTATTTTTCCATGCGTCCTCTTCTGTTTTCTAAGAAGTGTTGCGTACACTCTTGGACAAAAGGATCAGTATAGTCCTCCCTAAAGGGAGGAACACTCTTGATACATATGTTCCTTCAGAAAGGGAGAAACTTTCGTCCCTAAAGCAGGGGAGCAAAAGTTCCTCCGTCGCCCGCATCTCATTATGGCGGCCACGAATCGAGCAAATCGAGCTCAATAAGGCTTAGCGAGAACACTAAGTATATTGTACGGAGCGAGAGGAGCAGCAAATAAAAACGTAACCCAAGCTTTCCGCGCACTGTATTTACTTCCGAAGCTGGCTTCCCCTTGCATGCAGGTAAAGAAACTTACGTTTCGAAAGCATGCAGTCACTCAGTCTTCTCATCGTCAGCAGTGCGATTTTAAACGGAGACAACCGGCACCCAGCTCGCCCACTTTATGTCTTACCTTTGCTATTCCTCGAGCCACATTTCCTTCGTCAACCGTTGCGTCAACCGCACATCACGGAGGAGTAATAAACCATTCGCCCGCACAACCAAAAACCGTTCTCAAAAAAGCAGATCCGAAGCAACGTATTGGCTTATCTCAGCACGGTAACACGAAATTATGGCGTAGCCGCGTAGCGTAAAAGGATGTTAAATCGCTTGCTACCAGATGGCAGGGTGAAGCAGAGTGATCGCAAGTAGCTAGGCTAGGTGGCGCTAGGTACCGCCCAATTCATGTTCTACAAAAAATATTTTTGTTTTCTCACGCCACTATTGCGTCTTCTTATCTTCGGGAACCTCTATTATACATACATGTACAGACATGTAGATAGATTACGCATACGACAAGCATCAGGTATGTTGAATTGACCTGAGACTGGGGTAGAGAAGAAGCATCAAAACGTAGAAGGGACAGAAATACATGATGGGGAAAACAGCTCAGAAAACACGGACTACGAAGAGGAACACACACGACAGGACAATGCTGCACACGCAACTGAAGAATTTTAATAAAGGAAACAAAGACAGAAAAACCGTACACAGTATCTTAAAACATTGCACAAAAACAAAGGACCATTCTCGCCAACCGTGAAGCGTGTCAATTAACTACCCGTTCACTACGTGACTCATGTTTTGCCGCAGGAAGGAAATTTCTTTGGCTGACAGCGCCAATGACGGTTCACTTACACAGGAATGACCATGACACAGAATGTGGAAGGTCTCAATGATTTCTCTCGTCACCCTATCCTTGTGCGCTCCCAGAACGGTGACTCTGCCAGTCCCAGGCCGACACTAGCAATCTCTTAAATGAACAGGCAAAAGCCCCCCAACCGTAGTTCCGAGAGAATATGAGTGCTAACGTAATCTATCGTTCAGACATCTTCCTGTTTGCCCCACGTAGCACCTGTTACACGACAAAGGTATTTTATATACCACACACGAAACACAAGGGACAAAAGGTTTTCTGTGCGCCTTGGTGCACTTCACGCTGGAACGACCAACTATCCCCGCACTAATCCTGGAACATATCTGGCCTATTTTGGGGGGCGCCGAAAACACTACCGGAATTCCATATCTGCCACCAACTTGTTTCAGGTTATGGGAAACGCGGTGGAGGTAGGGGACTATTACCACACTCTTCTTTTCTCTTTCCGGCCTCGACCTCTCCACCCCCTTAGCTTTCTTAAGAAGTGAACTGGCTACTTCCGCCAAGAGTGTCGACGGGAACCCCGACTCCTTCAATCTACTAATTTGTTTTCTAAAACTGTCGATCATCTTGTGGGCACATGATTTTTTGAGGGCCGACCCAAGGCATGACACCGCTATGGACCTCTTAACCACCTTCGAATGGGAAGATTTAAAATCCAGTATCGCCCTTTTGGAGCGCGGGCAAAACGACCAACATATAGTGTTATCACCCGGGTACATTGTCAAATCAAGGAACTGTAGAGCCCCTTCCTTTGGCTCTTCACACGTAAATCCCAGGCCCCCACCACACTTCTCAAATGCGTCTTGGTGGTTTTGATGGCAGCGATGGCCGCCTGCAGGAAGCGGGCGCCCTCCTTGAAGAGGAAGTGGTCGTCGATGAGCTGCTGCTGCGTCTTGTCCAGCGGGTAGTAGGTGACCTTCAGCTCGCCCTCCAGCATACGCAGAGTCGACCTCACTTTCTCCTCCCTCTCGCGGTATTGGGCTTCCGTCATGCACGGGTTGAAAGGGTAGCCCTGCAGCGAGCGTCCGCAGCGCACGCCGGTGGAAACGACGAACTGGTCGTCGGGGTCCACATTGGCCAAGGTGCTGAGGTCTCCGAAGTTCGTGAGCGGGTGCTTGTCGGTCGCCTTGAAGCCGCCGTGGTAGTCCTCGATCACCGGGTTGAACAGGCCGGCGAACAGCGTGTGCGACTCGGCATCCGGGGCGCACAGGCCGACGTCGCTGTCAAGGTTCTCCACGCCGGACTGTATGATGTCGAGCAAGGTGGCCCCCATGGCGGTCTTGCGAGTCTTAAGCTTTTCGAAGATGGACGGAGGACCGTACGATGGTAGTGGGACTCCGAGCGGTATCTGACGTGCGGACCAAAGGACCTTTGAAAGGGCGCAAATCGGAGAGCTTGGGGCGGCGCAACGGCTGGCGGGAAGGACGGTGGAAGCAGACTCTGGTTTTTGGCTCTCTGAGCTTCGACTGAAAAGTGTTGACTCTTGACGCCTGCGCTGGAACGGGAGACGTTCACCGTGGTCCTGGTGTTAACGTCCACTCGGATGTGCGATCTACTCATGGCTACAGCGTTGGCAGATATGTGCTTGGCTGCTCGAGAGGACTCTGCCGGCCGCTCCTCTCAATGCGGCTTTATGGCGACTGTGCCTGTCCGCTGGGATCCTCATTCCCGGCGTCCTCGGAATCCTATGGTCTGAGCACGTCCGGTGTCCTATTCCGCGTTCGGGGCCGTTGGCTTGTTGAATGAGGCCGGAGGGAGGGGGCAGGGAGGCGGATTAAAGCTCGTCAAGGATGACATCTTCGTGTGCGTGTGCTGCCTGGTCAGGCGCCCTAAGCTTCTCGGGGCAGAATCTCGACACGACGATGAGCGCCGCCTCGACGTCGGCGGATGTTAGCGGCAGAGTTGCTGGCGATGCGTTGTTCTCTTGTCGTTGGCGACGCTCGGTGTGGTGGGCCCCGTATAGATGACTCTCCCCCGCTATCATGGGCACCTGGCACAGGGCGCATAACCCGGCACGCTCTTTGTCGGTGTAGGGCGACAGTGTGTCCTCTCTGCAACGCTCATTCAGGGTGCGTCCCTTGAATGGTGCTGGGAAGTCGGCCGGCGCCACTCCTTGTGGGACTTGTGGCTGTCGGTCCCAGTGCAGGCGGGAAGCGAGCCCCACGAGGCTGTGATGCTCCATGATGCACCACGTCGCAGCCTCATGGGTTCGGGGGCGTCACCGTGGGTGGTGAGGAGGCGGCCGATGGCCGAGACTGCGGCTGCCGAGGGAGCGCGACCGATGGTAAGAGGACCGCCGCGGAGATGGGTGACGTGGCCGTGACCACAGTCGGTCTGGCGGCATGGCTGCAGGTAGTTGAGGTCAAGAAGAGGCACAATTAGACAAGATGGAGACGACGTTACTGAACTCTCAACACTTCGCCCCGTTCAATAAAAGGTTTCAAGTCATTGATGTTAACAGGTTCGACGCGTGCGCCGGTTATGGGGCACTGTAGTTGATATGGGAGACCTGTAATTCCCGTCTCGACCACGAAAGGACCGTCTCATCGTTTGGCGAGTGAAGCGGAAAATCCTTGGCTGGCGTGACTGAGTGGGTGAGTGCGTCGGAGAACTAGATCTCCGATAGAAAATTCAACGTTTCTCCGGCCTTTATTATATTGTGTTTATTGTCGTGATTGGGCTAGTTCGATATTTCCCCGGGTCATTGTCACTGTATTTCGGATAATATCGCAGAGTCTTTGTGCAAACCTCGACTGTGACTGGCGCGGGCGAGCATTTGGCGCAAGCTTTATAATGTTTTCCATGGGTACTCTTAGCTTCCGACCAAAATTAAATCATGCCGGTGTGAATCCCGTGGTTTGGTTTTCTGTGGTATGGGTAGCAAAGGCCATCTCTGGGATATGGGTAGCAAAGGCCATCCCAGTCGCAGTGTTCGTTAGTGCACAAAATTAGCATTGCCCGGAGGTTCGATTTACTCTTTCAGTGATAATGTCCTGGGAGTGATAAGGGGAAGTACAATTATGTTGGATACCAAGAATCTCACAACAATTTTCAAATACAGTGCTGGTGTAGTAGGTGGCCTGGTCTGTTAAAAGGACAACAGGATACCCAAACCGGAAAATGTTTCTCGAAGTTTGTTCTTTATCTTCTTGGACGTAAGTTGACGCAGGTGATGAAGGTCGACCCACTTGGAGAAGTGGTCGGTGAAAGCAAGGAGGTACCTGTTGCCTTGTGGGCTGCGTGGAAATGGGCCCATAATATCACACTCAATAATTTCCCAGGGCAATGACCTTGAACCGACTGCATGAAACCCAGGGGCTTCCCGCCTCGGGGTCTTGCCGTCTGGCATTGAGGACAGCTGCGGGCATAACGCAAGACATCGCGGTTCATTCGAGGCCAGGTTGCAATGCAATAGAGCTTTTGGTAGGTTTTTTTTTTTCATCACTGTGACCTGTCAGGACACTGTCATGAAAGTTACTTATAAAAGTGCGTCGTAATATTTTCGGCACGACTACGCGGAATGGTGACGTGGTAGGGTCACCCTCATCTGCTTGAGTTATGTATCGAAGTAAAAGGCCATCGTTACTCTGAACGTAGGTGTCGGTGGGTGCATCAGTCATGTCCTGTCCCTTGGAACTGGGTTGATTTAACCGCGTAGATACCTGCTGGCACAGATTGTCCGCTTGCTGGGCTCTGAGCAGCTGTTCCCGTGTCACGACTACGCCCCAGGAAAGTTCCTCGTTAGTAACAGCGACCAACTCCGACGCTTCTTCCCTTTCCTGGGGTGGAAGGGGGGCGCGAGACAAGGCGTCCACCTCAATGTTGGATTTGCCAGGCCGGTACTCAATGGAGAAATTGTGTCCCTGTAAGTTGAGAGCGCATCCAGCTAGACGTCCTGCTGGGTTTTTAAGATTTTTGAGCCAGGTCAACGCTTGGTGGTCCGTCTGGATTGTAAAGGTGGCTCCGTCAAGGTACATATCGAACTTCTTTAGGGCAAATATTATTGCTAGGCACTCCATTTCGGTGTCGGTATAGTTACGCTCCGCTGCCGACAGTGTGTGGCTCGCAAATGCAACCGGTCGTAAGGCCCCATTATGTTCCTGCAGAAGCACTACTCCTAGTCCGTACTTGCTGGCGTCGGTTTGTAGCACAAATGTGGCATTGAGATTAGGAAGTCTGAGGGAAGCTGTATCGGCAATGGCGACTGCCAGCGTTTGAATGCTTCCTTGTGAGGTGCAGTCCAATTCCATGGGGCATCCCGGCGCAGCAGCTCATGCCATCAGTTATTGGCCAACCATTGGCCGATGAGTGGCTACTCTTTGGCCATTGGCCAAAAGACCATCGCCAGCCATTGGCCAATGCTTGGTCAAACTCCGTGCTGCTTGGGTGACCGCCGGTATCAGATAATATGAGGTCCTACGTTGGGCGCCAAATGTGGAGACAAGAAAACGAACACCACTTCTCGCGGTGTTCAAGCTCCGACTGCCACATTGCCCGCTCGCCCCCCGGTTGTCGGTTCTCTTTATTCTTGTCTTTTCCCATTCCCCACAATATATATACATATATATTAACAAAAACAGTCTTTCAACTTTGGTTAGTGTTGATGAACTCCAGACTAGATGGTAGTATGTTAGGTGAGAGTCAAATAGACAATTGTGAATTACAATTTAACATTCGTGGATAGGGAATAGCGTTTGCGACTTGGAATCCGCACCATTAGGGATAGCTTTGAAATAAGATAGTTTCGGACAATCCCAGGACATGTTCTCATTATATAATAACTGAGGGTTTGGAACTATTACGATGGGATAAAAATTTAAACCAAGTGGTTTAGATAGTACAACAAGCTTGTTTTTTGGACGCAGAAAAAAAAAAAGGCGGAGTCACATTCAGCGGAGTACTATGATACAGCGCTGATATAGCGCGAATTCTGCATGTTGTCTATAGCGCTAAAATAACGCCCGCTATATGTGCGCACATATCTTAATACGGTGCAAATTCAGTTGCAGACTAAGGGTCAATTCACACATACCAACCGCAGCACTAAATTCACACTAAAAACCACCCCCCTACAGCGCTGACTAGAACGTAACTCAGCACTGATGCGGCGATGTACCACTGCAGCCATGGCCCGAAGTCAGCGCCCGTATCAAAGTGCTATTACCGGCGCTGACTAATAGTGTTGCGGTAGTGCGTTGTTGCATGTGTCAACCAGCCTTAATATAACTAAGGTAGCTATGCGGTGTATGCGAAGAGTCCTTTATAGGCCGGTTCAGACATAGAGCACAGTAAACACTAAGAACAGCGCTGACTTAGCGTTAGACAAGCGTTGTAACACTAATGTACCGCAAAGTCGGCGCTTTACCAGGAAGGCCAGCAACGCTAATGTATAGCGCTGCGGTGTATGCGACCCGTCCTTTAATTAGCAAGTGCCGCATCAACGCTGTCTCTATAGCGCTTAATCAGCAATAAATTACTGTCGAGCAGTGCTGCGGGCGTTACCCCAAAAAAGTAACGAAATGCGTTATTCGTTACATGCAAATAAAAGGAACGCGTTACCGACCTACGTTACCTGAAAATAATAGGAACGGATTACCGTTACCGCTACCGGTAAAAAGTAACGCACGTTACTTTTGCGTGACTTCTTAAATTATGAATTAACACGTTTACTCTTTCACGTTAGAGGTATGCATGAGCGCCATTTTTCTAGAAACATTATGTCCATCCAGAAACTGAACATAATTACCTGACCTTTTTTTCACGGTTCCACCTAAAAAATCGCGAGAAAAAATTCAGAAAAAAAGAACACAAAATTCGCAAAACATTCATATAGCTTAGCGCCTAGAAACACACAAAAAAATGTTTAAGTGTAATCTTCTTAAAGTCTCGAGAAGAATATGTATCAAGTAACGTAACTATGCGTTGCACGTCACTCGAAATAAATAACGCAAGCAGGTTACACAGTTACAGTTTTGAAGAGGTGACGGGTATGCTACAACATTACCGGAAAAACTGACGGCGTTACCGGTAATGCCGCTACTTTTGACGCGGTAGCGCCAACACTACCGTTGAGCGCCATGTGTGAACGTGCCTTAAAACTGACCTATATGCATACTTAACAATCGTGCCGAAATTCGCGCTTGGGCTCTTCGCTTTTTTGAACGTTCGAACTTCCAACTACACCGGCCGAAGTTCCGGGATGCTTTTTTCGAGAGCCCCGTCCGACGATGGATCAACGATATTACGAGTGACTGATCGGAGCGGACGTTTATGTCGTGGCAGGATATGGCCGCCCCTCAACTGCGTCGCTTCCGTTCACGACTTCGCTCCACTTTAACTTAGATAGACCGCAGCGGGCGAGAACAGCCGTTCCAGCCAATCCTACGTTGTGATTGGCTGGATTACACGTCACTGCGCGCCCTGAAAGTAGGTCACATGACACGCACGTGGCATTTTGATTGGCTTAGATGGATCGTAGCGTCTCTAGCGCGGTCCATCGTATGGTGAAACGACCGATCCGAGGGGTCACGATCGCTCCTCAAAATGACCGGGGATATCTT